GAGGCAGAAGCCAGTCTCCGAAACTTTATGTTTTGAAAAATAAACAGGACGGTTTTTAGATAAAGACAAGACGATGAATAATGTCCAGAAACACAATATTTTTACTGATGTACCGTCGTTACAAACTTTTACATCTTATAAACTTGTTGAACCCACCTAAATGCCCTATGGGGTAGGAGGTAACGTCATTCTGCAGTGTATATGGATGGATGTAGGCTGTCTGCACTGCTGATTGGCCAGGCAAAAAAAATTTACATCTTTAATAAGTGAACATCATAGGCCGCGCCATAGCTCAAGCGGTTAGTCGCTGGCTTTCCACCGCAGCGGCCCGGGTTCGATCCCGGGGTCTGGTCAAGTGGGATTTGTGGTGGACAAAGTGGCACTGGTGCAGTTTTCTCCGAGTACTTCGGTTTCCCTGCCAATCTTCATTCCACCAATTGTTCCACAATCACCATCACCTATCATCTGGGGCTGGCACACTAGCCCAGAAGTGGCCGCAATACAAGGGACTTAGTCCCACCCCACTAGCAATAAAAAAAATTAAAAAAAGTGAACATCATACTCAGCCCAGAATTTAAAATCTCAAAAGAACGCATTTGAGAACTCCAACCAAGAATAAACACATTTAAAAGCTTCTTTCACATATTTCAAGAGACGATTTTGAAGAACTATTAAGCACTCATATGAACATGAGGTTTTCAATTACTGTTTTGTGCGTTCGTATCAGGCTTACTATCTGTTCAGTCCACAACCTTTAGTCTTCTCGTCTGCTGTCCCAAAACATAAATATTAGAATATACTGTACAAAACTATACTTTTGCCTGTGGTTTTGTATGGGTGTGAAACTTGGTCTCTGACATTAAGGGAGGAAGATAGACTGAGGGTGTTTGAGAACGGTGTTGAGGAGAATTTTTGGACCAAAGAGAGGTGGAGTGACAGGAGGTTGGAGAAAACTGCATAATGAGGAGCTTCATAACCTGTACTCTTCTCCGAGTATAATTAGAATGATCAAGTCAAGGAGGATGAGATTGGCAGGTCATGTAGCATGAATGTGGAGGCAAGGAATGTGTATAGGATATTGGTGGGGAAGCCAGAAGGAAAGAGACCACTGGGAAGACCAAGGCGAATGTGGGTGAACAATATTAAAATGGATCTTAGAGAGATAGGATGGGATGATATGTATTGGATCGATCTGGCTCAGGATAAGGATCCGTGAAGGGCTCTACTGAACACGGTAATGAACCTTCCATAAAATGCTGGGAAATTCTTGAGTAGCTGCAGAATTGGCGGCTCCTCCAGAAGGGCTCAGCTCCGTTATTAAGTAAGTAAGTAAGTAAATAAGTGTTCATATAAGGAGGCAGTTCTTGTGAAGTAACATTTCCGTCTTCACAAAAGGCAACCTCTTCGCCATGTCGGCTACATTGTTACCCCCTTATGTGGGCCTGCAATTCACATGGTAATATTCGCGGAGGGAAAAAAAATTCCAAAAGGGCCATAAGAAGTGTCGTTCTTAAAAAGGAAGTCCGGAAATGTTTGCTTTGTCACGAATTGTAATAACGGTCTATATCATTAATATTTTTGTACATTGCAGCACGTATGTCTTACTAGCTGTGTGAATTGGTTGGGTGACCGTAAAAGGCAAACCTTTTGACTGTTTCCCTTTTTGGATTCTGCTTATTAATGCACTGCACAACTCACCTTTGTCACAGGGCTTCAGACATTTTGACTACGCGATCCAATTTACCAATTTAATTGTTCTTATTGTCCAGACATCCCCTGTAATCTGAATTGTCTTTGTTTTAGCGACGTCTTCTCGTAGGAAATGTATCGTGACATGTGATGCCCTTCGTTTTACTGAACTTGATTTGTTAGATTGAAAAAGCAATATTTTGCTAATAATTCTCCAAATAAACGTTAATTAATAAGTTACGGAGGACTACGCCACGGCCATTTCCTTCCAAATCCTTCCCAATTCATTATTCACTAATCGTACCAGTCGATGCTATACGGTCTCAGATACTGATAGCGCTGTACAACCACAAAGCGATCAGTTATAAGGTGGGGGAAGAGAGAAGACAACTTTTGAGTGGAAAAACTTGAAAGAAAGAGGTAATTTGGGAGAGCTAGTCATAGATAGAAAAATAATATAAAATGAACCTGTTTAAGAAATGTGGAAGGGATGTCTGTGGGTTGGATTCATCTGGCTCCGGATGAAGATCATTGGCGGGCTGTTGTCAACACGGTATTGATCTTTCGGAGTTCCTTAACACACGAGGAATTTCTCGATTACCAGACGAACTATTTGATTCTGTAGAAGAACGCTACTCCATAGTTCAGGCCAGGAATGGAGAACATCACTTAACTTTGTACTACTAGTGAACCCCAAGGAGAGACGGGCTGGCTATGTAGGAAATAAATACATACATACTTGGCCTGCAAATCTTTCGGAATATGGCCATTTTGAAGCCCGTGAAGTAGATATCAGGTTGATATTAAACTGGGTCTGAAGGAACTAGTTTGTGATGATTAGAAATGGATTGAACAATTTCCAGATCGTGTCCAGTTGCTGGCTTTGGTACTGTTGGTGTTGAACCATCAGTTACTGCTACTAAGTTAACTGATTGCAAGATTGTTGCTTTCCTAAATCCATCAGGTAGCCCTAGGCTGCTGCGGAGGATACGTAAGAAATTATAACATTTTGTGTAGTATGTGTATTTATTTTTTGCCTAATTGACGTCCTCTTAGGACATATTTTTTTATGGATGTGTTGTGGTTACAAGCCTTGCGGTGGTCTGATCCTTCATCGAAGGATCGACATTTGCTTTTACGGCTTTATAAAAAGAAACGTACAATAGGAAAACCTGGACAGTCCTGGCAACTACTAACAATTTTCTGCTGTCATGTGTGTAGACCACCTCGTGGGGGGGGGGGGCTCCAGCCTACCATTCCATGGGTTATGGGGACTCTTTTCCTTACGGTAAAGTGGCCGGACCAATAAGGTGCCATTTACTAGCATCTAGTACTGCGGTATAGAATGTGGTAGCTTAAGGTTTATGTCTATAGGGTGCGTAGACTTACTAGGAACATGTGTTTTTACGTACACTAGAGAAGGCCAATGTTTCAGTCGGGCTGAGGGGGTAAGAAGATTGAGCAATCTAGTGCTCATTCTGACAGTTCCCGCAAACACAGCCGCTTGTCGAGCAGAATGGGAATTGAAGTCACTTTCTCTTCGCGTTACGTCATGCCGTGTTTCGCTGCATTGTTATGTAAGACGAGAACCGTGACAGGAAGTCACCTGACTGCGCGCGCATGTGTGAAGAAAATATAATCGTTCTGATAAGGAAGTGGCGAGCCTTGTCTACAGAATTTTTGACCAAGTTCGAATTTTTTATAAGTTTGTCTACTAAATAAACTGACCATACTGTACTGTAGCCACCCATATTAGCTTACCTTGCCCCCCCTTCAGATGACGTCACGTATTGCAAAATCTGTGGCCGAATTATTTTCGCATGCTGGAATGAAGTCTGATCTCATGTAACGTTAGCCAAATGTTGTGGTTCGCGAAATTCGTAGGGGTGTGGGAAATGTTTTGAGGGTTTCAGCCAGGGCCTGATTAAGGCACACTGAGGTTCTAAGCCACACCAAGACTCGGAGATCTCCATGCTGTAAAAATACAGAGAAGAACTGTATTACACTTTAACAGAAAGAGCCATGAAAGAAAGAACGATAGACCGTTATATTTACATTTACAATATACATAGGCAAAGCTGCAATGACAGTCAGCTAAATAAAACATACATCTTGCAAAAACTTTATTTGCAATATGAAATTTCTTAATTGGCATGTATGAAGCTGAGGATATACGTATTTTATCGTATATCGTATTTTATGGAAAGACAGGCAGATACTGAGATCTCAGTGCAATTTATGGACGTACCATTGTAGCTTATAATTAAAAACTGACAAATTACCACTGTTCTAAACAAAACCTGTATCTTGCAGTAATCCTGTATGCATTAATATATGCTTCTAAATGAAAATACCTCATGAATTCTTTTGCTTGGCATATATGAAAATGAACACTTTTAAGATAAAAGGAACACAAAAAACATTACAGAAATAAGAGCTCAGTGAATGGAAGCAGTGCTGCTATTTATATTGTCACTTCTGTTTGCAAATAACATAACATTTAGAACACTGGGTCAGCTTCATATTCACTGCTTTATTAGTAGAAATGAAAACTTGTAAAACCTGCTAGATAACAACTGGGCTGTCCCAGAGCCATTGTGGATCGGTGGCTCGCCTACAGGGAATCAAACATCAGTGACTGACTCTCTAGCCCATTGCTGTCCTGAGCTGTCATGGTCTTCCCTAAGTATTAGATATTACGATAACTTTAGAATAAACGTTAGTAAATCAACACAGATGATATGGCATACAAAAGCAAAACAAGATATGCATACAAAATTTTGATTAGAAAACCTAAAGGGAGGAACCAAGTGTGAGACTTAGGCATAAGTGGAAGGATAATATTAAAACAGATCACAGGGAGTATGGGCTGGATGGCTGTGGTTTGATTCCTGGCAAGGAAAAGAGATTTTTCTCTACTCCACAGAATCCAGACCAGATGTGGGGCACACCCAGCCACATATCTGAGCAGCTAGATGCATAAAGCTGACCATTCACCTCCATCTAGTGCTGAGGCAGAGAACGGTGGAACTCTACCTCAGCTCCCTCATGTGTCTTTATGGTGTAGTACTTAATTAATTAAGCACTGGGACAAATTTACCTTACCATGGAGAGGAAGGTCGAAAGGAAGCGAACTAGATTGAACTAGTTCAGGATAAGGTCAGATGCTGTGGTTTTATCATCAGGGTGATGAACCTTAGGGATACTTGTTAGGATATTTCTGCATCAGCCTAATATTGACTGTTGATAGAAAAACTATCATGGAAATAGCTGGTAGGATTGTTCTAGTAATAAGTTTTGTTTGTCTGTAGTGCCTCGGAAGTACCACCCTCCAGTTCTGCGCCATCATCGCCTGGCTACAGCACTAGCAGCCCTGCAGGTGCTGCTGGGGGTTGCGGTGTCGTCTCTTGCAGTATGGCTGCTCTTATGGGCTCCAAATCTCCGTGTCCGTGACATCCCTTATTGGAGTGGCTTACCAGTTAGTAGTTTTTTTATGAAAATGCATTCAATTGGAAATAAAATATAATTTTTTGTGTAACACAAATAAGTAATACTGACTTGAAGTGATTATTTTCTAGAAAAACAAGAATTGGCACACATAAGTGATAGGGACATTGGAACTGTGTAAGATTTTAAACAAAATTACAGTATGGCCAATTATCTGGCATTAACAAAAACTGGAATCTTTAAAGTAACAACTTTATCCTTCTTTCAACTTACGATTCCATAATTTTTATAAAGTACATATTTTCAACTATATAAAAATGTTACTGCAGATCATACTGCCAACTGAGTGGCATACGAGTATGCCACATGAGAAAGATACATTCTTTTGCATTAAGACATCTTGCAAGTTCTTTGTCTCTCTGCTCAAGCGTTTTGCTGTAATAGACGAGACAGTTTGTCACCTAAAGAGAATGTCATAAAACTGATTTTCTGTTTTGAGAAAATCAAAAAGATAAAGTAATGTAGCAAATTAATATCTGATAGACAAATAAAATTCTTGTATGAGTACACAGGAGTGAACAAAATAATGGAAACACTAAGAAATTGAGGAATAGAATTTGTTTGTGTTGGCTACATTGAAAGAACTTCAGTTAGCAACACTTTATGTTCTTCCATTTTTTACACTCTGTAGTGCTTGTGTCACTGCATCAGTAATTGTGTTGAATGGTAGTCTGTGTGAAAGAATCAGGGAGTAGGATACTTGTCCAATTTTGAAAGAGGACAGATCATTGGTGTGTGTTTAGCTGTAGCATGTTGTATGACAACAACTGCCACATTATTAGGTGTATCGAGAACAACAGTTTCTAAGGACATGTCACCATACATGAATCCTGGGAAGAAAACATCAATGAACAGGAACACTGGGTGAAAATCAACATCGACAGAAGAAGAGCGTCATATATTGAGAAAGATTAATTTGAAAAATTACAGAACTACTGCAGCACAGGTGACAGCAGAACTGAATGTGTATTTATCTTGCAGAAACTGTTTCCACAAAAAAAGAAAGCTGTCTGACATGGGCTTCACAAATCCAGCATCCAGAGTAGGGCTGCAATTGCTAAACTTCTGATTACTTACTTACTCATGGAGTTGGGCCCTTCTGGAAGAGCAGCCAATTCTGCAGCTACTCAAGAATTTCCCAGCATTTTTTGGAACCCGAAGGTTCATTGTTGTGTTCACAAGAGCCCTCCACTGGTCCCTATCCTGAGCCAGATCTATCCAATCCAAACCATCCCATCCTGTCTCTCTAAGATCCATTTTAATATTGTCCACCCACCTACACCTTGGTCTTCCCAGTGGTCTCTTTCCTTCTTGCTTCCCCACCAATATCCTATATAGATTCCTTGCCGCCCCCATTCGTGCTACATGCCCTGCCCACCTCATCCTCCTGGACTTCATCATTCTAATTATACTTGGAGTACAGGTTATGACACTCCTCATTGTGCAGTTTTCTCCAACCTCCTGTCACTTTATCTCTCTTTGGTCCAAATATTCTCCTCAACACCCTATTCTCAAATACCCTCAGTCTATGTTCCTCCCTTAATGTCAGAGACCAAGTTTCACACCCACACAGAACTACAGACAAAAGTATAGTTTTCTATATTCTACTATTTATGTTTTTGGACAACAGACGAGAAGACAAAAGGTTCGGGACTGAATGGTAGCAAGCATTACCCAAGTTCAATCTCCTCTTAATTTCCTCCTGAATCAGGTTTTGATTTGTTACTGTTGTTCCCAAATATCTGAACTGTGCCACATTTTCAGAGCATCTGTTACCTATCTTTATGTCATGAATTTGCCCTGCATTTTGGTGATGAGACAGCAACATATACTTAGATTTCTCTGTGTTTACTTCTAGACCAACCTCTTTACTTGTGTCAATTACAGTTTGTGTGTTTTTCTTTATGGTATCTATACATTATCACCCAGTAGATTCACATCATTGGCATAGGCCAACAGCTGATGTGTGCCATTTAATTTCAGTCCCACCTGGCTTCCCTGAACCTTCCTAATGGCAAATTCTAAAGCAAAGTTGGAAAGGAGTGGCAATAAAACATCTCCTTGTTTTAGACCATTCTGAATAGGAAAATTATCAGACAACTGTTTGCCTATATGGAATTTACTATATGTTTTGTTTAAACACATTTTAATTAACCTAACAAGTTTCATGGGTATCCCAAACTCTGTCAGAATATTGTACAATACTTCCCTCCTAACTGAATCATAGGCTTTCTTGACGTCTGTATATAACTGATGTATTGTCTCACTTTACTCCCATTTTTTCTCCATAATCTGACGAATGAAAAAGATCTGATCTGTAGTTGATCTGTTATGTTGAAACTCACATTGATGATCCCCAATAATTTCTTCTATATATGGACATAACATTGAGAGAAGACTATTGGGATAAAATTTTGTATGAAGTTGATAGCAGTGATATCCCCTGATAATTACTACAGTCAGTTTTATCACCCTTCTTGTGAACTGGTACAATAATAGACTCCTTCCACTGATCAGGCAATTTTTCCTTATGCCAAATAAAGGTAATTAGATTGTGGATCTTAGAACATAATATTTCTCCTCCTTGAATAAGTTCTGCAGAAATTTGATCGCTACCTGATGATTTATACCTTTTCAATTTTGCAATAGCAATTTCAACCTCAAAAGGGCTGGGATCAGGTATTAACATCTCAGCTGTGCGCATTTCTATCTGCCTAACAACACTGACCCTATGTTTATTTAATAATTGAGAGAAGTAGTTCTTACACCTATTCAAAATACTGTGGGAATCTGCAAGCAGAACATCATTCTCATCCTTCACTAAGTTACGTGTAGGTTGGTAACCCCTCTTAAAGCAATTTATTCATCTATACAGGTCTCTATTCTTACTGTTCTTTGCAAGCTCATCCATTTTGTCTTTCAGATATTCCCTCCTTTTGTTCATGAAATGCCTGCTGGTTTCACATCTTATATGTTCAGATTGTCCCTATGTATTTTGCTTGGATCCTGTAACCATTGCAATTTGGCTTGTTTTCTTTGGTCTAGTAATTTTGAGCATCCTTCATCAAACCATGGCTTATGCTTCTTCAGTTCATAATAACCTAGACTCTCCTTGGCAGAAATGTTTATATTTCCTCTAATAGTTTCCCAAGCTTTATTAACATCCACCTCAGTTTCCAAGAATTCCAAGGCCGCGAACCTATTTGAGATTTCATCACGATGCTGCTCTTTACCCTCTACCTCATTTAATTTCTTGAGATTGAACCTCTCCATATGAACTTTGTGTGTTGTCTGCTCACTGCCAGTCTTTCCCTACCCTTTGCCACCACCAGGTAGTGGTCAGTATCACAATCTGCTGCCCTGAATGATTGGACATCAAGTATGCTTGAATGTCATCTCCTGACTATCAAAATATGGTCGAGTTGATTGTGTATCTTCCCAACAGGAGATGTCCAAGTAAATTTATGGATGTTATAATGTGGGAACATTGTACTTCTGACAGTAGGATTTTTTGATGTGGCAAAGCTTATTACTCTAATTCCATTATCATTACTAATTTCATGCAAACTCTCCTTCCCAATCGTTTGTTTGAAAACGTCTTCCCTCCCTACTTTGGCACTGAAATCTCCTAACAAATTTTTCATAGGGTACTTCGGGAATTTATCAAATACATGTTCTAGTTCTTTATAGAACCTGTCCTTTATGTCATAAATTTTATCTTCTGTTGGGGCACAAACATTCATAAGCTAAACTTTCGATTACTGAAAGTAATTCTCAGATGCGTGAATTATAGCATCATGACCATAAAACTTGAATTTCAGGCAATCGGGAACATGTGTGTGTGTGTGTGTGATATTGTCAGATGAGTGATCGTTCATGCTGTTCCTTATATCAGGAAGAGTTTACGTTTAGAGAATACCAAACAAAGCGTACAATCCAGAATGCCTGGTTCCAACAGGGAAACATGGGGGGGTTCTGTAATGATTTGGGCAGCAGTATCATGATTCAGTAGTCTGTTGGTCCAGTTATTGCCTTTTGTGGCTGAATTACTGCAAGGGAGTACATGGAGAGGTTGGGTAATCAGGTGAATCCCACGACCCAGATGTTATTTCTGAACAACGTTGCACTTTTCCAAGACAACAGTGCCCCATTCACACAACTGGAACTGTTCAGTCATGGTTTGAAGAGCATGAAGATGAACTTCAGCATCTTCGCTGGCCAGCACAATCATCAGATTTGAATGTCATTGAAACACTCTGGTCAGTCTTGGAGACTGGAGTGAAGAACAGATTCCCACCTCCAGCACCTCTAAATGAACTTGAAGATGTTCTTCAAGAAGAATGGTATAAAATTCCGCTAGAGACTGTTCAAAACTTGTATGAGTCTATTTGGAGAAGGACTGTGGCTATATTGAAGGCAAAAGGTGGTGCAAAACCATACTAATAAAGAAAAATGTGCAGTCTCTGTAGTGGTTCCATTATTTTGTTCAACCCCTGTATATACATTAGGATGAATTAAATATGGCACTGATGTCCAAACTGTGGCAGTCTGGTGAATTATTCACTAACATACAGCTGACTTGATTTTTCTTCATCAAGAGTTGAATAGTTAATAAAATCAACCAACTAACAGTTACTGAAGTAACAATATGCACACTCATGCACATGCACACAGTGCACAAATACCCTCTTATTGTCACACTCACTCACATACCACCACTTATTCCATTTCTCACCTCACACTCACACTCACACTCATAGTGTACTCACATACACACACACTAGCTCGCTCTCTCCCCCTCCCTCCCTTCCTCCTTCCTTCCTTCTGTTACGCTCGCATGCACAAATGCTGATAAAAGATGTAATTTCATCACATTCACCCTGTACTTCAGTTGCTGCTCTCTGGTATCATGGGGTTGCTGCTGCTGTGCTGTTGCCACAAAGACTACCCTGGTATGCCTCTTGGCATCTGGATGTTCTCTCTTAAGGTGAGCAATTCACATGTGTCATTGAAATGACTGAAGAGAAGTATCAGCATTACAATCAACATCTACACATAATTAATGGGATCTGCATAAAAAATTGCCTCAATTATTACCTGGAGAGCTGTGCTAGAGGGGGCATAAGCTCCTGGTAGGGTTCACCCATGCTATGCAAGTTGAAGGGTAGGGGCCAGTGAAAGGTTGCCCCTGGTTCTCAAGGTTTGGAGTTGGACATGAGGCAACCTCATCTTAGTAAACAGTGTATGTTAAATAACCGAAGGATGAATGCTGGGTTGATAATTAGGGAAATGTTCCACAAAGCTGAAAGTGACAAGTTAGTTATAAAAAGCAAATAACTGAGAAGAATGGGCACCTGTGCCAGGGAAAACAATGTTCCAGAGGACCGTACAGCCAAGGAGTGTGGATGTAAATAATAATAATAAAAAAAATAGAATTATAATTACAGAAGCACAATGTAAGTTAGATTAGCAAATGTTATTAAATAAATTGTGTATGTAATTTGAGGTAAGAAAAAAAAAGTTGCTCCTGCACTTACAAAGTAAGCACTATACTATGATAATATATGGGGGAGTGGATGTACAGATCCATGTATTCTTGACCTCGGCACTAGATGGAGGTTTCCTTCTTAAATTAACTGATTGCTAGCATGGGAACATGGAGGATATGTTAATAGTTTTATGCACTGTAATTGGTGCTGAGCAGTATGCCAAAGTAAGATATACTGTCAGCTTGTCTGAATGAGTTCAGATGTGTTGTTAAGGGCAAATCATTTGGAAGTGAGTGATAAATTTTCATCCAGTGAAATGGAAATTATTTACTCAATTAACACTTTCTTCCCAAATTGTATGTAGGTTCTTGAAGCCGTCTCCTTCCTCAACTAAAAATCTACTCAGCTGGACCCAATCATTATTGCTAATTCATATTTCCAGTCCAGAAATAAGGACTAGCTCTGTCCATTGGGCCCAAATGAGTAGACGTTTACCTGAGGATGGAGGCAGAGTCCAGTCTCTGAAGCTCTGATTTTAAATAAAAAAGCAGAATGATGGACAATATCTAAAATTTCAATAACTGTGGTAATATACTATTGTCAAAAACTTTTAGATTCTTCAAAGACTAGTCAACAGTAAGTTTTGTGACTAGTTATAAGTAATAAGCTTTTGTTAGTACAGGAGCTGGTATGTGTACTGAATGTTCCAGCTGAAAAAAGAAGAAGTCCCATGTAAAATATTATACATTAAAACCCACATCATAAAATCCCAAGATACCTGAAGATTTTCTTATTTATATTCTGTTCAGAGTTACTTACTTCAAGATAAAAAGAAAACTGCACATTACATAATCCATGTATTTCTTTCTCTTTATATTATATATTACAAATAAATTATCCAATCACAGGAACCACATTAGCTCGGTATCATGACTGTGGGACTGGGTCCGGATTACTGGGCAGTCATGGTTAAATTCCTGGTAGGCCAAGAGACTTCTTTATTCTCTGCTGCATCCAGATCAATTTTGGACCACCCAGCCCCCTAACAAATGACTACCAAAGGCTCTTTTCCCTGGAGGAGAGGTGTCTCAGGCATGAAGGTGACCATTCACCTATATTTAGTGCCAACATTAAGAATGTGTGGAGTTGTACACCCACTTGGCCATATATTTTCATGATGTAATGCTTAAGGAATAGTCTAGGGGTAACGTTCCCACCTTAGGACTCGAGGTACGCGGGTTCAAACCTGGTGGAGGTCGTGGAATTTTTAAGGGCAGAAAAATTCAGGGAAAAAGTCCTCCAGGAGGGACTTTAAGCCGTGTCCCCCGTGTCGTAGATTTACGGCACGTAAAAGAACCTCATGTCTCTAGGAGACCTCTGAGCTAAATTAGGCAAAAAAATTTCCTGCCCAAGTAGTTTCCAATGCCTCCAGTAGATGGGGAAGTATTAGGTACCGCTGCCAGTAGAGGGTCGAAACCCTGCTGGCAGAAAGGGGCTGATAGTGAGCACCAGTACTGGTAGGGTATGGAGACAGTAGAAATTAAAAGGGGGACGTAAATAGACTATTAGTCGCGGTGCATGGGGAAACCCACCCCCTCAATACTTGATACTGGATAATGCTTAAGGAAGCACAGGGACAACTTTATCTTATCCAATCACAAGCTTCAAATCCATATATGAGTATACTGTACACTTACTATGTAGTTCATGTTATCAATTTTCCTTCCCTGTCTGTCCTTCTGTCAGTAGCACATTAAGGTATTCTGCATACACTGTGTTGACAGTCCAGCTTAATTATGTTCCATATATGTAGGGATTTTTCCTTCTCAAATAAAATCCAGACAGCACAGTTCAGAACAAAATTATATGGACAGAATAAATATTCAGAGTGCTTTCTGTTAAATTGTCTTTAATTCTGTTTCTATATTAAACATTTATTATATACAGTTTTACATTTGTGTTTATGTTCTTGAAGACAGAGACAGAGAGAATTTGCGATAATATGGAGTTTCCACTCAATGCAGGTTATGGTTTAGACAGACTTTACAGCATTTTGTTTCACATCATAAATGACCTGAATGTCTCATGAAATGTCTATAGAGTATTCATATTTTTGCAGGTGATGAGTGTATGCGTGGCAGTTGTAGCTGGAGTGACATGTTTCTGTGCCTGCATATTTGCACTCCTGCATCTCGTATTCTTGACAAGCATGGAATGTGACCCAGCACATGTGCTAAATGCGACATGCATATGTCAAGATGGACAGCGGATGTACCAATACACTGACCTCAACTGTCTTGAGGTTGGGAACATCCTTACTATTCTTCTGATAGGATCCTGTGCCACCAACAGTATTGGTGGTGTCCTGGCCACATGGTATGTGTTTCTGCACTGGAGCAGTCGATATTCTTATCTCTACTCAGAAGTACAGACCAGTGACAATAAACCAATAGTGTTCTCCAATAAGATGGAAACCCGCAAGTAGAATGATGCAATATATCGTCTAGTATATTCTCAATTATCTGAGTCGATATATAGTCTCGATACTGACAGGGTCAATCAACCAACTTTAAATTAAGTGGGCTAATGTAGGTACAAGAAGCCCTTATAACAAAAACACAAGTTAGAAGCCAGAATTATCCATTCAGGCAGCTAGATGCTGGCTTCACCCATTGGAGGTCAAAATTCAGCCCTCAGTGACTTTATATGAGGTTTGGGCACTGGAGCAATTTCTTTTATCAGAGTTCTTCAGTTTTACCTCGCTAATTACCATTCCACCATTGCTCCATGCTCATCTATTAACGCTCCAAGGTGTGTGAGCTGGCAGTGCATTGTCATATTCTCAGTGTTTACGTCTGTGGCTTCACCTGTAATGCAGCTCTCAGCTGGTTGCAGAGTATGGTAGTTGTCTTTTAAAAATTCATTTATCCTGCAGTACATTATGAACAGGATTCCTGCCTAACAAGCATAACAGATTTGGATGTTTTTCCTTTGAGGTTTGTGTGCAGGTACCCAGAAAATTATCCACACAGTAGATTGAATTAGTTGCCAAATAAATTAAGTCATCATTACAAAAACATAACCTAGTCTGTGACACACTTAACTTTCTTACACTTTCTTACCAGTATTAAAATGGTCCCTCATTTTTCTTTCTTTCTGTTATATTTATCCAATATAAGATAAGTTTTCAAATAAAGTGGTGCCTTTTTGCCAAAAGTTCTTACGGTTAAGGGTGGAAGACTTAATTCTGATATCCATAAAAAGCATAAAATAGATAAAATTATTTTCAATAAAATTTTATATTAATATGAAATTTTCTCAGCAGTATTTATATTATGTGATATGCCAGTAAAGTTGAAGATGGTGTGAAATCCTGAGGCTTTCCAATTCTGACCATATCCAACTGGAAGAGTTCTGTCTCCTGGGATATAATGCCGTGTAGTCCAGTAGTTGACCAACATTTCAGAGGAACACGTCACATTCATCTTCAGGGTTTCATATGCATATAAGACTACATACAACAGTATGGTTTTGTATATTTTAATCTTTAGGTTTCTAAATAGGACATGTGAAGTATTCTGAAATAAATTTAAATTGTTTTTTAGTTCTTCATAAATATAATTTTGATCTGTTACTGTCCCTCACAAATATTTCATTTTTGCTACATTTGTGATGGACTTATTAACTATATTTATATTTTTCCACATTCTGATGACAAGACATGAATGCAGACAGTTTTTCTGTGTTCATATCAAGACCAATATCTATAGTAGTGCTTATTAGAATGTCCATGTTTTTCTTTATGGCATTTATGTTTTTACCCAATATATTAACATCACCAACAGAGACCACAATCTGTATAACCCATGCATGAATAACTGGGAGTATTCTGTACATCTACTGGGTACTGTGTTCTCCAATTACAGGTGACAGGGAAAACAAATATACATAATTAATTTATTTTGCATTGAGGTAAATATAAGATGACAAATGGATCTAATAAACAATTGTACCTGAAGTACTGACACTTAAACATATACTGGTAAAGGATACCGTTTCAGAGTCATCATTTGATTCTTGGATGGAAAATATCTGGACTGAGAAAAGACTGCAATTTTTTAAACAGGTTTGGTTTGCAACTTGTAACAATTTTACAATAATTTATTACAGTCCCAATATGAACATCGGGGTTTTCTCTCAACCAGTATTTCTTGATTCTGGGATCCCTCAAATTATTATCCAGGGAGTACCATGAGCTTTCACTGAATAATAAAGTTATTGCTCTATGGGGAGGCATCCTTGTCTTTCATTATCTGTCACATGCAAAAAACAGTTTCCAGTCAGTAAAATTTAAATGCTATATCATAAATCTAAATGCACATCATATTAACACATATTTGAAATGAAAAGTTATAGGTCTTAATGAGAGAGATATTTTGTGTCATCACATCTTATATAGCTAGTCATTTCTGAAGAATTTTACAGTTTGTTTTCAGCTTCATGTAATGTAAAGGCAATGGAAGAACATTATGGATCAAAATAAGATTTACCAGACAACCCCGATGTTGACGCACTGTATCATATTCCATCAAAGTATCTTAAATTGTCTGGTAAATCAGCCAGTCTCGTTAAAATGTAATGTTGCTGTCTTAAAACATGAATAAATGTAACTAAAATCTGATAAATGCTTTGTGGGATAAAATGTTGAAGTCTATACATTGAACCTTATTTTATGCCCTATAATATAAAAATGACATTTAGCACATGGAGCTTATTTTACATTACAGACCTAAGACACAGTCATGAGCCACACCTGCTTAAAAAGTAGTTATCTAAACTATGATAGACTAAGTAGATAAATACAGTGAGGTGACTCAAAGTCTCAAAAAGAAAAATATCTATGTAACAATTTTAAAGACTGCGCTTATGTTTATGAGTCTTAACCCTTTCATTGTTATAAGCTATTTGCAGTGCGTCAAGGCAAATATTGACTGTCACCACCTTTTGTTCAGACTTAACAGAAAAAAAGAAAGCAGCAGTGCAAAGAACAGTTCTTGCTATTTATAATTGTATATGATGATGTATGTAAGCAATATTGTCTCCATAGTGGCCATTAAAGCAAATGCCTTGGTTTCCAAGTATGCATTTGGGCTAACACAGCACAAATAATGTATATAACCTAAATACATTTTCCTAAATGTGTGTATTCCTTTCAATTAGTTTAATAAACAAAAATGTATTCTTCATTTAGAGGCCCAGTTGGATACATGGCAATCTGAAGGAGTAAATATACATACGTAACAGTAAGGAAAGGTGAGGCTGTAGTTACACATATGTAAGAAATTATTTATTATGAAGAACTGTACTAAAGTTGAAATGGCCAGCACTAATTAAAACAAACATACATTATGTAGGAACAAAACATTAATGAGGAAAATGTCGCAATGACATCCAACATCAACAGGCAATGATTCATTTAGATATTTCAGGTTCTCACAGGAATGGTTACAAAGAGTTCTGTCTTTTGGGATCTAACACCATGTAGTTCACTGAATGTCAGTCAGTGTTCCCCTGAAACATTGGCTGAGTTTCAATGGACTGTATGTCATTATTTCCCAGAAGACAGAAATCTTCAATCATTCATTTACTTGTAAAATATGACTGATGCCAATATTTGACTTCACAGGTTTCCATCGTGCTCAAAATTTTCATTAAATGAACATTGTGAAATGAGAAATTATTGTATGTACTTCATTGACATTGAAAGGACTCATATTTATCCTCATAAAATAGCATGAATTTGCTTTTATGCTGCCTATTCTATAAGATACAACTTAGTTTAAGACACATTTTGAATTATAAAATTTGTCAGTATCTTCAAAAGGGTTATATTGACACCCACTTGAAGCAGCCATTAAACCACATCAGAGGAACACACAAAGTAGGTTTCTAAGAATGGCTTGACACTTTCAGTACTTAATAAATGGTGTTAAAGGTCACTCACCAAAATCATTGCAGTCATATTAGTTTACATAATACATAGCTAGTAACTCCCTTCTGAATAAATGTATATTTTTCTATTTACTATTGTAAAGTTTACACTTTTCCTGTATTAATACTCACAAATAAACCATTTGACGTTTTAGTCAAAACTTATATGCTATTTCTTATTTGCCATTTTTTCCAAAAAGAAGTTTGTATGATGTTATTTCACCACTCCTACAGTCTTTTCACAGTATACCACTGCTAAATAATTTCCATCAAATTGAAGGGTACTTACTACATATCTTGGATTACGAGAATCTGTCATGGAGCACTTCTGATGAGTATAAACAGGGTACCATTTGAGACATCAGTATTAGTATTAAAACTGCTTCACCTTTCGCATTTCTTCTATTTTGGTATAAATGTTTCAGCTCAATTTGCTTTTATGTCTCTTCTGTATTTCAGGGCTGGTGTCATATTGCAATGTTATCAGTTTCTGCTACAGGCTATGTTCACATTTTTACGAAGTGTCTGAAAGATGTACCTACTGTTACAGAGTAAACAGGCAGAAATCAGATCACATCTTTTCACATAACACTATTTTGACTAGAATTTAACAACCTGAGCCTATTCTGTTGTTTAAATTTTCTGTGTTTTGTTAACAGTGGTGAAGAGTAATGTTTTCAAAAGTTAGCCACACCTTGCTCTACATTCTGTGAGCACACAAGCAACTGAAGTGGCTAACATGATAGCTTGGGTTGTCATGCACACTCTTCTCCCCTCAAGCCTATATACTGCCTCCTGTCTCCTCTAACTGTGAGTGTCTTTTAATGCTCATATTACTGAAGGCTCTAGATGCAGTTTTGGGTATCATGATGTGACAAAAGACTTTCATCCACACAGTAAAAATAACAAACAGAAGAGAAAGGATAGTGGACATATTTGTATGCATAACTCTTCAAATAAATCATTCCAATGTTTTGTAAACATATTTTTATTTGTCTATGGATAGCTGTATACAAAAGTAACATACACACAAAAGAAGACTGTCTACTCCACCTTTTGCTAGAAGAAACTTGCAATTCATCTAAGATTACTTTGCCTGTTGCAGCAACCGTGCTGGTGAAGAGATCAGCCCTACCAATGTAGCATCTGCTTCCAGCAATGTAAGATCACGAGATGAACCCAGGAACCGTGATGATAGTTCTAGTTCCTTGATTCTCAGTCGAACTTTTGCACCTCTTACATATTCACTGCAAAGAATGCAGTAACAGTAACAGTAACTTTAGACATCATTTCTTATCTGATGTTCATGTGAAACTCAGTCTCTCATTATGAGGTAAGAACAGAAAATGAGACTACTTGAAAGTAGGGTGGTCAAGAGAATATCTGGATCTAAAGCAAAGGCACTAGAAAAGAAACAAGATAATTGCACAATGAGATGCTCCATAATGTACACTCAGGTTCCACAGAAGGCAAGACATTTTCTGTCTGAAAAAAACAGAAAGCTACTATCTTATGATCACCCACTACCATGAATTTACCTCCTCAACTGTTAAGTCATGGAAAATCAATTTTTACTTAAAATACTAATATCTGGGGCATGATTAAAAGAATTTAGCATTTCATATCCCTTAAATTTATTGTGATCCTTCTCTGTTGACCAAAGTGAAGGCTTAATAAAATGCAGCAAATTTTGTTCCCAATTCAGCAACCACAATCTGCCTCCACTTGACATTACTGAATTGATTTAAGCAACACAGAATCACTAAATAAGCCACAATGTAAACGTGAACTTACCTCCCATTCTTGGCAGGACGTGGACACACACAATGGAACTTCCACCCAAAATCAATGTAAAGATCATCTCCAACCACATGGAAAATATTTCCAGTCACAACTTTTCCTTGTGGATCCCCTAACTGCATGAAGAAAACAAACTGTATCAAATTTGATAATACAAATACATATATATACACACATTCATATTTTGTTGTTAAGGTTGTCACAGTTTTGTATTATTTATGCAAGGTGGGGTGCAGTGGGAGGGTGTGGGGGCATATAGCAAATATATGCATGGGCCAATCTCTGAAATTTCACGTGAATTTCAAACTATCTCTGTATACCACTGCACATTAAAAACATATTTATACACTGAATACACTTCATCATCATTAATCATGAAACTGGCACTGGCGGCCCCTTCCGCTCACACTACAGTTACACTTGTACATTTTATCATTGTATGAAATTATTACGTCAATTAATTTCGAATTCCGTAGTAATGATGCGAATGTTTCTTCTTTCTCCGGTGTCTGGGTCTTTATTTCTGGGGTTGACGTGTATCTCTCGAACGCTCGTGCAAATCCACTACGTTTCTTTTCGTCCTTTTCAGTATCTGTTGATACTTTATCACCATTGGTGCTGCAGAAAGATCTTTTTACATTGTGCGCATTAGAACAAGCAAGCAATGTATAAGTTTTGGAACACACGTTGTTACAAATCACACGCTTTAGTACCATGTTAGCACGATTAATATTTACATCAACTAACCCCTTCCCATTTTGTGCACATACATTCGAGACACCAGCTGGCAGTTGGCACTCCTTCTCCAAATAGGAAACATCACCGCCACAAAGTACCTACACTAGGTACATAGAAAAGGTAAGGTTGTGAACACGGGACAATGAGCCGTGAGGCTGAACGACCTAGATAACACGCCAATAGTTCTTATTAGGCCGGGGGCACACCAAGGAAACTGGCAACTGAAACGCAACCGCGATTTCCGAGAAGTGTTATCAGCCGGTGTTGAACACATGTTAGTAAATGGGACAACGCAAATTGAAAAAACGGAAACGCAATTTACGAGGAGACTGAGAAACTCAATTTCCAGGCAACGGAGCGTACCAGTCTTCACACGTTTGAGTTCGATTGGATCGCCGCGTGGATTCTTAGAAATCTGCTGTTCTGTGACGCACAGCAGCGATTCGTTTGTTTTTCAAGACTGCACGAAAAATTGATGAACCTGCTAATGTTTTTCTGTGGAGTTAATTGAGGAAGAACTCACCGTAGAGTATGCATTATAAGAACAAAAAAGGACAAGGTAGAATAACTAAAGAGTTCAGATTAGCTACATCTTATAGTAAGGAAAACGTACAATATCTAAACTATTTACTAGGAAGAGAGACCTGGGAGAGTGTTCTTAAACAAAATGAGGCAAGTGATGCATACAATGAATTTTTAGGCATCCTTCAGTAGTATCACAATATAGCTAGGCCTAAAAAATTGGTAAAAATTAAGCAACAAAAAAAAAATGGATTACCTTAGGCATAAGGGTATCAGGAAACAGACTTCGGACTCTTCATAGCTTAATTAAAGAAGGAAACACATCTATAACCAGTACAAAAAAATATACAACAAAATTATCGGTGAGGCAAAAAAATTAAGCAGCAACATGCGAATAGGATCATCCGGGAACAAATCAAAAGCCATGTGGGATTTAATAAAAGAAGAATTAGGTAGTCAGCAAAAAGTTCCAAAGAACGTTGAATTAGGAGTGAATGGAACAACTATACAAGATCCAAAAGTTATAGCCAATGTTTTTAATGAATACTATACTAACATTGCCCAGAACATCTGGCGTAACAATCGGGCAGCACAAAACAATGAAGACAGGATCAACACAATAAAATACAACAGCAATAGCATGTTCTTAACCCAAACCACTGAAAGGGAAGTGGTAGACATAATTAAAACACTGGTTAACAAAAAATCAATGGGAATTGACGGTATTCCAGGGTTCATTATTAAAAAATGTCATCCTCAACTAGTAAATGCTCTAACATACATCATAAATCTGTCATTTACATCTGGTTACTTCCTCGACCAACTAAAAATAGTAAAAGTGAAACCCTTGTATAAGAAAGGTTGTACTGCAGCTGTTGGGAACTACAGGCCAGTGTCATTAATTTAGGTTTTTTCTAAAATAATCGAAAAAATTATGCACAATAGATTTTTATCATTCATAAATAAGTACAGCATAATCAACAATAAACATCATGGATTCTGCAAAGGAAAATCAACACATACAGCAATCACATAGTTTACAAAAACGGTTTACAAAGCACTAGATGAAAAAAACGAGTATAGGGGTATTTTTGGATTTATCAAAAGCGTTCGACCTAGTAGATCATGGTATATTGCTAAGTAAGATGGAAAGAATGGGAATACGAGGGGTTACACTAAGGTGCTTCCAGACATGGTAGATATTACATACAGATGCAAAAAACTAACTGAAACGTTAATTACCTATCCCGAAAGAGACCCATCAGATATGGCGTCCCACAAGGTTCCATTCTGGGACCAGTGTTGTTTCTGTTATATATAAATGACCTGGTGGCCAGCATAGAACATGGGAAACCCACATTCTTTGCCGATGATACTAGCATTTTTATAGAAGGAAATAGCACTAACAAAATTCAAAGGAAAACAAATGAAACAGTAAACAAAATCACGGAGTAGTTTGAGAGGAATCGATTAACTATTAATAAAGAGAAAACGATAGCAATAGCCTTCCATCATCCTCAAAAACTACAACCTGAATGCCCTCCAATAAAGATTGATGACACTCTTATCAACTACACAGATCACTCAAAATTTCTGGGAGTCTGGCTAGATAAGCATCTAAGATGGACTATGCATATGCAAAAGCTAGCGAACAACTTATGTAAAGTATGTTTTGGCCTAAGGGTAGTTAGAAGAGTGACTGGACTAGAGACTGTCCGCACTTTATATTATGCTCATTTCCAATCTTTGTTATCTGATATTGTGGGGCAACTCGGTAAATGCAAAATTGATCTTTAAATTACAGAAGAGAGCTATAAGAGCTATGACCCAGGTCCCAAAAACCACTAGTTGTAAACAAATTTTCAAATCATTACATATATTACCTCTACCATTCTTTGTACATATACAAAACTCTAATATACATAAAATCCAATTCAGATGATTTCACAACCAACTCAGGATTACACTCATACAACACAAGGCAAAAAGACGACTTGCACATTGTCCCATGTAATACAAGTCTATGCAAGAACAACTTTAACAATGTAGGACTTCGACTACTAAATCATCTGCCACGATATATTAAAGAAATAAAGGTACTATATAAGTTCAAAAATGCTTTGAAAACTTACCTACTCGATCATTGTTTTTATAAAGTGGATGAGTTTCTCTCATGTGAGACAAACACTAATCAATTATAATCACATAATTCATGAATAATCAGTTCTGGGAAT